CATTGGCGTGGGTTTTATGAAAGTGCTAGTCATGTAGCCAATGGAGGTAAATTTGGTGACATACACATTTGTCCTGTCGTGTGGCTTAGTTGCGCTGTCTCCTACATTCCCTTATCCCACCCCCTTCACCTATTCTCTTTATGTTTTGTGAGGGTGTAAGAGTAATGGAAAGGACAAAGATTTAAGTATATTAAATGAGCTTGTTAAAATATCCACTACAAATGATTGAAATGAAAAGGAAAATTTTATTGTTTATATTTATCTGATAATGTGTTCCATTAAGACTTTGTGAAGACATCCTCCTGAGAGGTTAGTAGCAGTATCTATAAGCCAATGGACTTATTTAAATTTAGTTTTTCATAGGCATACAGTTTTTTTGTCAAAAGAGTTTGATGATGAAAGTAACACTCCCTCAAAAACAATCTCTCCTGTGTCATTTTTATGTCTGAGGGTTTCAGTTTTGCCTATAAATGTACAGTATCTCACAAACTGCATACTAGAGTTAGAAACTTCCAGGGAAATAGAGTCACCTTTAGCATCTTAGATCTGTTATCAGTTATCTTGTGGATTGATAGCTTAACAAAAAATATATTAGCTGGAGCTACGGAGCACTGGATGCTTAACACAAGCAGCTGTTAATTATGAATGGCAGTCATTTGTATTTTACTAAAAATGTTGATGTGGCGCTCAAAGAATTTTCAGGAAGACATTAAATCCTTTTCATCTCTGCATCTGATTTCTACATTTTCTACCTTCTTCCCCCTAAAGAATGCCTCTTCTCCCTTCAGGGCCCTCTCAAAGCTCATAAAACCAATAAAATATCTTTTTGGAGGGAGTAAAAATGTATTTGAAGGAATTAGGGTTGATCTGGGAGATGCATTGCTGGTGTTACAGCAAATTAGTTTTGTTAAATATGAGTAGGACGAGTGTTCTGTAGATTGTTCTGCAATAAAATATATGGGCAAATATATGCATATATACAAATGCAGTGCCCTTACATAGAAAGCTGCTTGCACATTTCAGTAGGCATTTAATCACAGCAATACTGCAACAAAATAAAAGATTGGCCAAAGACAATAGATACTCTGTAGAAGCTGTAGATAACAGTACAGCATAAGATCTATTTCTCATATTCAAGCCTGTCTTTTATTTTGTTTACACAACAAAGTTATTATGCTAATTACATGGTAATATGCTGCCCCTGAGGACTTTTTACATTTATAGCATCTACTTGAAGATGCATATTTGGAGTCAATATGTGATTATTGGCCAAATGATTTGATCGGAATGACAGTTTCTCCTTCTAAGGGAGTCCTCACGAGGCTCTTACTGCTGGGTATGGGGTTTAACAATGAATAGGAAGAAAAACCCAGGAAAGGTTGGGGGATTTTATTTTTCATGTTGTTAAAAAAAGAATGTGGGGCTGGACAACCTTTGGGGCTAAAGAGTCAAGTCTCAGACTGTGTTGTGTGTGTGTATGCGTGTGCACATGCAGGAGGGAGTTCACACTGATATGTGTGCGACCTCACTAGGGGGAGCTCTTGGCTGGCTGTTCAGAGGCTTGACCATTGTCTGTAGGAGACAATTTTTCTTTGTTTGAAAATTTACAAATCATCAATGAAAATGCCACAGATATGGCAGAAGTTTTGGGGCTAAGCCACTGGTTCCCAGTTCCGCCCTTCATGTGGGGATGGTGGTGGCGATGGGTTTGCCCCCTCTGCATATTGCTGACAAATATTTTTCTACATTCCCATCATTTAATAGATTTCAGAGCTACTGTAAATATTTCTTTTCAGCCAGAGATAGAGCTGCTCTGCAGCCCATTCCTCCTGAAAGGCTCTCCACTGAAGCTTATGGTAACAATGAAAAAGTATACATTTACAAAGCCTTTTCTTTTCAACCTTAACTCCAGATCAATTAATTAAATGATGATAGAAATATGGTTGCCATGAATGCTATTGCAATGTTGGTTTAAAAACTGGGAACTTTGTGATTGTAAATGCACCTAATTAAAAGAACCATTGAGAGGAAAATAATCAGCTGAAGAGCCACAAGCATTATTTGAAAATCTTTAAAAGCAATCACTTTCAAAAGGAAAAGAGAATATGCCAACCCTAAGAGAATTTTGACACTGGTTTGGACAATTTTAGGACAATTTTATTGTCCTTATTCCCCCAATGTTCTCCTTCTACCCCTCACCATGGGGTTCGTTTTTTTTTTTTTGTCTTTTTTTAAATTGGAGGTAAAAAAAAAATAAAGCAAAGTGCTTCTTTCCCTACCATGTTCCTTTCCTTTTTTCTCCACTCTAATGACATTTGGCAGGCTCGGCTGTGTAATGCTTGACTGGTTTTATTGTTGTCTGTTCCCAGTGGGGAATAGTTGACACTGCTCTCTGTTTTCAATTGATATCCATTTTCAACAATATTGCTTTCTATTAGATTCCTGCACAGTTTGTGCCAAGCAAACTGAATATTTACTGGGCTGACCTCAAAGCCTTCAAATCAACAAACACTAGAATAAGCAAAATACGCATTTTTAAGACCAAATGTTTTCAAATGCTCCTTTCAAAATTATTATTTTTAAATGCACTGTGAACTACAGATTAAAGGATATTATATTGCCACTTCTGTCAGCCCATTTTTATTTATTTGTTTTCACACATTAAATAATGGGATTAAACACTGAAAGAACAGTTGGATATACTACCTAGGCAAGGTTAAAAGCAATTCAGTTTTTCCATATTTAATAATCCCTCCTTCTAGGCAATAAAACATGTTTGCTCACTGCTTTTGAATGTAGATGACGCTTGTTGTATCGTACTGAGCAGAACCACAGAGCGACAAACCAGAAGACGGACAGCTATGTCAGGGCTTCTTCAGTGATCAAGGTCTCTGTGTTAGAACTGAGGAGTAGAAGACTGAATTTAGCCATGAAGAAAGAGATTCAGTGAATTACATGAAAAATTTTTAAATGTCTTTCCTTCAACTTGCTAAGCAGTTTTCAGAATCTTCATTGTATACCCACCTACAACTCTGCAGTTGTCATGGAGGTTAGAAAGATGTTTGGTTTTTGGAAAGAATCAAGAAATGGATGAAATAATAGCAAAGGGTTGGCTTTATGATGAGCACCTCAGGAGCTGCTGCAATATAATCAAACCTATTTAGTTACTTTTAAAAAAAAGGCTTGTCATTCTTTTACAATAACGTCAAAACAAACTCCAACAGACAGGATGTGTCTGCATAAAATGTATTGGTTAGGTTGAGGTACCTGTTGGTGATGCAAGCAAAGAGGCCTGCCCAGCAAGGTGGGAGCTGACTATATTAAGGGTGGTGTTAAGAAATGTTCCAGTCAAATTATCCATTTTCAAAAGGTATTTAGACTACCAAACCCCTGTGTTGCAGAACATAAAACTGTAAGACTCTAACTAGTCATAGGAAAAAGGTAGCAAGCCCAATTTTCCATTTAAAAAGTGTTTTACCTTTCTCAATTCTTTCTTTGTCCCTTCCTTCCTCTCACTGGTATTTATTAAGTGTCTACATCATCAGCCTCTTTTCTTTCCAGATAGAGATCTTCCCTGTTACCATTTCTTGTGCCAATACTACCTGTCAGCGTTTGGTGCCAGGCACTTGCCATATACACTGTTTCCCCTTCGGAACCCCGTATTTTTCCACCTCTCAAAGTATGTGTGTATTGCAGTTGAAACACACAAGAGCCTTTAATGCCTGTCTGCCACTTGAAGCATCTTACCCAGGAAATGTGACTGGGTGGAGATTGTGCCGGCCTGGCAAACAGTGGCCTGAGTCTGACATGCCGGGTGGTTCTGGGAAAATCCCTGACTCAGCTTCATTTTTCACCATCTGCGTCTCAGTTTTTCTATTTGTAAACCAGGCATAATTAAAACTGCCCACTGGGCCTTTCACAGGCATGTAGGGAGGATTAGCAAGCGGCTGCAAACTTTTCTTAGCCCTTTGCAAGAGAGGTGTTACAACAAATTCAAGGCAGGAGCCTTTTATGCAAGGTGTTGGCTACATTTATGTTTAAACCTCCATGTTTTGAAACTAAATATGGAATTCTTTGGCTTGAACAAGGAGCACAATTAATCAGTAGGGTCTCCATGAAAAATACCATTTTCATGGATTCCAGAAATGCCTGGAAGCTCATGACTAGTATGGAACTAGCATAATAGACTATTGTGCTGCTGGGTGTTCAACAAACTTGGGTTCCAATCCAGTGCTCTCACTAACCAGCTGTGTCAACCTTGGCAAGAGATTCCCCTCCCTCAGCTTTCTCACGTGTAAAAATAATGCACTTTTCAAAAGCCTCATGAGGAGGAATATATGAAAGCATTCAGAGTGATATAAAGCATTATTTGTATATAGTATGTGCTATTGGTAATTTCTGAAAATGGGATGAGATAGTCCCAAACTTTCCTCTTTACTTAATTGCAGTTGCATTAAAATGATGCAATACAGGTCATTTAAAGAGTAAAGCACCCTGTTCTCACCATTATTTCTTATCCGGAAATGCTGTCATTACATTTTTATTGTCTTGCTGGTTTGGTTGAGTAATGAGGCATCTACAAGACAGCTATTTCTCCCAATGCTTTGTTCATGAAAAGTACCCTCAGATGGAAGATGCATTTCACTCTTACAGCAAATGTGCATGACTTGTGATCCCAGAGTGTTTTCTCTCATGAACCTTGTCCAGGCATCTGCAGATAAAGTATACAGCATGCTGGCTGCACAGATGATTTTCTTAGTGTCACTTGAACTATCTTAACATTCTCACATCTATAACCATATTTCCCAAGGGGTATCAGAATTCAATTTTGCTTTACTTGATTCTTTCCCTTTCCAAATGCACATGTTTGTTTATCAAAGCAGTGAGCATACAAATGATGAAGAGAGAAGAGAGATTTCATTGAGGTCTGTTTCTTTGAGGAATGTTTTATTGAAATATAATAGTTGGATGAAACTTCCATTTTCTTTCCACGAGTTGCAGGCCACCTTTGGGAAGCAGGCTTGAAGCAAGGTCATCTGGGAAGACTGAAGGCCTAAGGTATGTGGGATCATCGTGTTGATGGGTGCTGTAGGCACATGGGTGTGAGTTACTGTAGAGACAGAAGAAAGGTATTAGGCAAGGAAATAAGGGTGGGAGAAATTACAGTGTGTTTCCTTAATTCCATTTAGGGAAAATCAGGTTAAAATGAATTCCTCTATCCCAGAAGGGGAGAAAAGGCAAAAAGTTTTTCTTATTTTGTTTTGTTTGGTTTAAAGCAGACTGGGATAAAGAGGAGAAAGGGTGCAATTCTGTGCCATTTCTATCTGCTTCCTCTTCATATGCCATGAGCCCCTATTGTTCCAGTTTGTTAAAGTGTAGGGATTAATCCAAGGCATGGGGCTTATTTCCATGCATGCCTTGGGTAGGGTTTAGAGTCTCCACATCTCCCTTGAAAGTATTCAGAACCTGGGATGTGTCCTTGGTCCTGGAGTGTGCTACAATGGATGATGAAGCTCTGCAGCCTAGAGGATGGAGTACAGTGGCAGAAGTAGCAAGAGATGAGGGCAGTGGTTATGGAGATGGCTTTCTGGGGGCTCAGAATGATGAATATCTGCTTTGTGGCAGTGGCAGGGGTTAGAGCAGAAGTCAGGAGGTTGGGAATTGGCACAGGAGGAAGGAGCATGAAGTTAGCTTGAACTAGTCTCTCACTTAGAAGTAGATGTCATAACTGTCCGAAGCTCAGGCTCTACATCTCCAAAAAGGAGTTAAGAAAAAGAGAAGAGTGATTCCAGAAAGTTGGAAGTTATAAATTGGATAGTATTTTGTCCAAATCATCAAATAATGCACAAACACAAAGGCCTTGTGAGATTGAGTATGAAGCTGGTACAACTCCAGAAATAGGAAGGGCAGCTTGAAAGGTCTTGGATTCGCGGTCATGGCACTCCATCATACCCTGGGTCATGAGGCTCGCCTGCGGGCAGTGTGCCGGGAGGTCTGCGCTGCTACTCTCTTCCCAGCATCAGCATGGCAGAAGCTGACCTTGCACGATCCCCCATTTAGTAAGGAGAGAAGGACCGCGAGCACTTAACTCGTGCAAAAAAACTGCTTAGGGGTAGACCTGTCCTGCCCTCACTTGGACTTGAGCTCAGGAAAGCAGCCCTGCAGAGCACACCACCCAGGAAATGACTGGAGAAAAAAAAGGCAGACTTACAAATGTCTTCACGAAGGGAGAATATATATGATTGGGCCAGAGACACATTCTGGAAGGGCATTGTTTAGTGTCTGCGGTTGGCTGGATTTCATAAAATGAAGAAAATCAAACCAGAGGCCTGTTTGTGGAGTTGAAGCATGATTGTATTTTTAGTTTTCTTAACTGAATAAATCCATCAGTTGACAAAGAGGAGAGTGTAGTGGATTAGACAGAGAAGGTATGATTGAAGACTCGAAGGCAGGGTCAGCTAGAGATACATTGATCACAGTCTCATTAGGCCTGGAACAGAAACAAAAATGAATTTGAAATGTGGGAAGGGGGAGGGGGAAGATAGAGAGGGGACAAAGGGAAATACCAGTACATTTTCCAACAGTGTGATTCATAACACGCGGATGAACTCAGACACCCAGATACAAGTCATCAGTTTCCTGACAGGTACTGAGCCAGGGCAAAATGTTTCTATCATCCCATCTCTCTCTCCTTGTCTCCCTTAGTAAAGCACCCTGAAATAATTTTTGTTGCAGAGAAAAGGGGTTCTACTCCTGGTAACTATTTTTAATGTTGTAAGACTGGAAAATATATTTCAAGTAAAGTCAAATAAAGTAAGTGTGCCAGGAGATACAGGTAGTAAGGGCCTGGAACCATTATTAGTACTGGTAGGTCATTTCTCTGATTTAGATATTAAGAAACATATATGAGCAATAAAGGAGATCTATAAAAGAGCTGATTGCATATTTCATTAAATTGGAAGTGAAGCTGATCATAAAATGTAATATTCAAAGGAAGCAGAATAATTGGTGCAAAATTAAAGTAACTGTTATTAAAAACTTAAATTTAGTCTTCAGGGCCCTTCATCAGCTGCCCTATCATCCTGTCCCTCATCAAACTCCATCCCTCATTATTTTTTATTTGCTCAAAAAGTATAGTTATATTTCTCAAACTAATCTTCCTTGTCCTGCCTGCTGCATCCCTTCTTTCCTCATGCTTTGCCTGCCTTTTTTCTTTTTTATGCCATTCCCATTACATTCTCTGAGAACTGGTGGAAAGCTTGCTTAGGTTTTCTGAGTGACCCATTCTGGGGTTCTAGGCAACACTATTATGAACCTTTGTCTTCCACACCTGAGTTCCGAACCAGTAGAGAAATACATAAAAATAGGAGAGATGAACTCCAAATGCCATCTTTATTCTGATAAGACTAGAGAAATGTGGTGAGTAGACCTCATAGTCCAGAATCTCGGAAGGATATTTCCACCCACTACAGGCAGAATGGTTCACTGCAGAGATCTGTCCCAACCAACTGGCAGAATGAATGCTGTTGGTGGGCAGGCTTGCTCCCAGGAGAAGGCAGAAGGGGCAGAACTGTGGAGATTCACTTCCTTGCCCCAAGTTCATCAGTGAGACAGCGCTGGAGAGAGGCCAGAAGGGTTTCACTGATGGCATTCTCCCTCCACAGAAAGAAACATCAGGCATAGGGGAAAACATTATTCCCCAATAGCAACTCCATTTGGAGAAATGTCTTCAGGTGCTTGCTTGTTTGTGATGCCATATTTTATATACCTTGATTCTGTTGGGGTTCAGTCAGGGAAGCAGAGTTCTTATTGCATTAGGGGAAAAGGGGTTTGTTATAGAAAGTAGGCCTTACATAGATGCAAGAGCAACTGGGGTAGTGAGTCTCAAAAGGAGTATTGGATGACTGGAGAATCACTAACCATTCATCCTGAAGCACCCCAGGGTGGGTGGATCATCTCAGAAGCCAACCACATCCAGCTGCCAAAGCGGGATGGTGGAGGAGGTGAGGGTGGAGAGGCTCTGCAGAGTTGCTGCCCCTGTGGTTCTGTCACTGAGCATCTGGGAGTGGTCTAGCTGTTGTGGTCAGCAGTGTCCCCATCAGGGAGAACTGGACCTGTGGCAGAGGACGGCATGGACAAGTGGGGCCTCTAGCACTGCTGATCAGCTCACGGTGAGACACTTTGAGACAATGGATACTGCTTCTCTTTCATTTGGCCCTTCTTTGGACGAACTCTAGCCTGGCATCCTAGAGAGGGGAGGGGATTCCAGGAAAAGTAGTTCTCAGCTTAAACAAGTTGATGATACAACAAACTGGCATAGTCGGCACCTTGATAAGTTGACTCCTCTTTTAACCATTTTAACTTCAAATTAAGACAAGGGATAAACATGCTTTGCCTAACAGAACACAATTAAAAATACTGTAACCCTTTCCCCAGAAGAGCACTCATGTCCCCGAGTGACCCAAATCTCAATGAATTTGGCTACAAAGTCAGAGGGTCCCACAACTCTTCTCCTTAGTTTTGATAATTTCCTACAATGATTCATTAGTTTCACACGTCAACTGACTCAGTTCTGGGGGATGTTCATTCCTCTTCTAGCGCATATTCACCCTTTCATATCCTGTAACTTAAAGATTGATATATAATGTTAACCATTAGGAACTATCTCTCAAGTCAGATTGTAGGAGAATCAGAGAGGAGAAAGTAAATAAACGAACAAACAAATAAATAAAAATATTCATATGAAATTAAGGAGAAATACCAGTAATAAGTACTACTGTCCTCTTTTCTGCAGTTGATTCACACAGTCATTGCTAGCATTTGTGAGTTCCTCCTTCCCGTTACCATGTCACATGCCCTTTGCCCCAAGGAAGTGGCTCATCTCAATCATGGTTCTTTTCTGATGGTGGGCAGGGGACCTAAACCTCTCCTGAAGAGTCTGTGTTTTTATAGCCTCACCTGTAATGGGTTATTTATATACTTTATCACAGAGCTTTGGGAATATGTAAAGGCCCCAGCTCCCATCGTGCAGTAGTGTAGTAGAATAAGGAAAGTATTTGGTTTGTACCTGGTTCCTGGTACAAAGCTCTAAAATCCTTGAGATTTCCTGAGTGATAAGGGTGACAGAAGTGGCTTTTGTTCTAATCATGGAACACTTGATTGTCCCCTAGATAGCTCCAGGATGGGGGTTGGTCATCAGAGAAACCAGCTGTGTGATGTGATGAGAGGTTTAGAAATTTCAGTCCCACCCTCCAGCCTCTGGGGAGGAGAAGGGCTGTAGATTGAATTTATCACCAATGGCCAAAAATTTAATCAACCGTGCCTATATAATGAGACCTCCATTATAAACTCCTAAATGATGAGGTTTGGAGAGTTTCTGAGTTAAATACGTGCTGGGAGTGTGGCATACCCCAACTCCATGGGGACTGAGGTTGCTGCATAAAGGGCCCTTATGGACATTGGCCTATGTACCTTTTCATCTGGCTGTTCATTCATACCCTTTATAATAAACTGTAATAGTAAATAGAACATTTTCCGAAGTTCTGTGAATTATTATAGCAAATTACCAAAACTAAGGAGAGAGGTTGTGGGAACCTCTGACTTTGTAGCCAAATTGGTCAGAGATGTGGGTAACTTGGGGACCCAGTACTTGCAGTTGGCATCTGAAATGAGAGCATTCTTGTGGGACTGAACCCTTAAACCTGTGGAGTCTCACACTAACTCAGATAATATCGGTTGAATTGAATTGTATGACACCCAGTTGGTGTCAGAATTGGTTGGTGGGGGAAAAAAAACCTCTCAAGAAAAAAACCTATCAATTTCCTCTTAATAGAATCAACTACCCAACCAATAAAGGACTCCCCTTCTTTGACTATTGACTTACTGACACGGAAGCTCAACTGGCCAGATGGTCTTTTCAGGTTCCTGTTTAATTAAACCTTTTTTTTTTTGGTACCCCTGGAAATGTTCCTCTTTAACAACAAAAACTTCTAGACCAGCAGAGCCCAAAATTGTGAGGATAAGAAGCAAAAATTTCACTAGTAGATGGTTGAGGTAAT